AGCCAAACGGAGCCCGGCCGGGGGACGCCGATCACTCGATACGGACCCTCCCACATTGGTGAGAGTTTGCTCAGTCCAGCACGTGTTTGGACACGGCGTAGGACGAGGTCGTCGACGCAGAGTGATCGGGCCCGGACGTGGCGCTGATGGTAGCGCCGCAAGCTCTGCTGGTAGCGCGCGGCTCGAAGGGCCGCGCGCCACCTTCGCTCTTCCAAGTAGCCGAGGTCAGGGAGCGTCGGCTTCCTTCTTTTTGTCGCTCGCAGGCCTCCCCTTTCGGGTGGCCAGCGAAACGCCTTCGACGGCGAGGACATGACCCTCGTCGTCGGAATGGGCCGACCTCTTCTTCCTCCTCCTGTCCCGCCGCCCTGACCGAGTGGCGGACCCGGGGGCGGCCGAAGCTGCCACACCGGAACCGGAGGGGTTCCAAGTCCAGGCCTCCTCCTTGCGAGCCACTCGGTCCGCGAGCTGAAAAAGCTCCGCGGTAGTCTGGGGCTCTTTGGAGGCGATCTTTTCGAGCATGCGGTTGTGCCGCACACCCCCCCTGAACGCGTAGATCACCGCGTGTGCAGGGATGCATGGTATGGTGTTGCGGACTTGAGAGAACCGCTGAATGTATGAGCGAAGTGACTCATCATCCCTTCGCTGGACTGCATGTAAGTCCGCTTCTTCACCTGGGCGCGGATATGTGCCTTGAAAGTTCATGGTGAACTGTTGGCACAAATCCTCCCAAGAGTGGACGGACGCGGGTGGCAAGTTCATTAGCCAACCCCGTGCCTGTCCCTTCAGGGCCATGGGAAAGAAATTCGCCATGACCCTGTCGTCACCCCCGGCGGCCTCGATCCCGGTCGTGTAGACCTGGAGAAACTCGGCGGGGTTGACGCTCCCGTCATATTTTTCGGCGATGGTGGGCCGGAACCTTGGGGGCCAACGGACATTCCGAAGACTCGCCACAAAGGCTCTACAGCCGACACCACCAACCGGGGGCACGGAGGGCTGATTCCCGCGTCCGTGTTGAGGTGACACTCTGGACGAGGAAACGCCCTCCGTTGCGTGGGCAGCACGTCGGTCATTACGCCGGCGCTCGATGCTGGTGCGGTCGTCCGGCCCCCCACGCAGATCTTCCTGGGTCGGAGGCGCTGACGAAGGAGGGGCGGCCGAATGGTGAGGAACAGCCGCCGCTCGCCGCGCCCTCCGCCTTGACGATACAGAGCCGGTGGTAGCAGCGCCAGAGGTCTTGGTGGCGGAGGACCGCCCACCAGCACCTAGGCGCCGCCGTGCCGTCATGACCAAGTTGGCCACGTCGTCCAGCCAACGTTGGGCTGGAGACTCCGGGTCAGGGACAATGGGCGGGTGACGTAGGAGCGCGCCCGCAGCTTGGAGCGCGCCCTGGGGCGTGCTGCCGTCGCCGTAGACGAGGAGGCGACGCTCCCCATCTCGCCGCCCTTCCCCATCACCCGTGGATGTCGAAGTCGCGGATCCTTCGACCCTCTCGAGCGCCTCCTCCCGCCTAGGACTTTAGCGTGGAGGGGGCGGTGGAGTACGAGCTCGACGGCGTGGGTTTGGCTCCCCGTCGTCACCGCTAACACTCGGAGAGAGGTTGTGCGCCTTTGCTTGTTCCGCCATTGGGCTGAACAGGAAAAGCTTGGCGCACACGAAAGAGTGCGAGAGCTTAGAAGAACACACGCAGAACCCCCTACCTGGCGCGCCAGATGACGAAGCGTGGGGGTCCTCACCGGGAGACCGCGCAGGCCCCCCTTTGCCGGTTCGGCCGGGGGCCCTGGGTGAGATTCTAAGCTCGATGTGTGTGTGGAAGGTTCGCGAGAGTGAAAACACACAAGACACGGGCGATGTATACAGGTTCGGGCCGCTGAGAAGCGTAATACCCTACTCCTGTGTTTTGGTGGATCTGTGTATGAAGAAGCTACAAAGTGCGAGCCAGCCCCCAATCGTTCTGGGATCGTTTTTTCCTCCTCTCTCTAAGTGGGCAAGGTCCTCCTTTTATATCTTAAGGGGATACCACATGCACCATTTCTCCCTCTCTTTCCTCCAATTTGACTTCTCTTCATTAACAGACGGAGATTTGTATGGCTGCCGTCCGAATGACCTTCTGATGGGACGGCCCATACCTACCTCCACTTCCGCCGGAAGCAGGCGTGACGTGGGAACATGGCTGTCTGCTGACGATATGATCATTGTCAGACCGGTCACAAATCAGTCATTCTTGTCCACCACGTGTCAGTTTAACAATCTGCATGTTCGCCCCTCTTCATACAATGTCTTGCTTGTAATGGTTAGGATGAAGCCTGGCATATATCTGACCGGAACCAACGTGCCATCTCCAGGAGCTAACACGCCGGCTCCGGCTAGGGACGAGTGCTTGGAGGCTCTCGTCCTGACGGGATGGGGCGAGGCGTGCGTCAGACCGCCTGTCGCCACCTAACCCGCAATCTGACCGGTCTGTGACCAGTCACAGACCGGATAAACGAGCGCGCTGTACTGCATTACGTGTGGCGTGACGTGCTCACCCAAACCGCAATAAATGCGGTTAGGTGAGCCCCGCTGCGCTCACCTAACCCATATACGCGCCGCAAAACCCACAAGGGGTCGGGGCGCCTCGGCCCTCGGGGCCGAGGCGGGAGCGGTCCGACCCCCTCGGGGAGACAAAGAGGAGGGCGAACACATCACCCTCGGGCCCGACGCCCCCCGAGGGTGCCAGGCCACGTGGGCGATTGTGTCTGCCTCAAGCCTCTAGTCATGATACTCCCGGTCCCATGTCACCGACATAGGTCCTTCCCTAATATTCGCGTTTTTTAATGTCCTCGTGGCTTAAGATTTCGATCGTGACGTAGAGACACCTGAAACAACAGACCACATTTCTTACTGTGTTTATCTTATGGTTTTTGCCAAGTCGCTCTGCATGACCTGTCAAAGTGTCAAGTATTATACATTATGATATTTTTCCGACGAAGGTAAGACGCTGTTGACTTTTTTAAATATGTTTGATTGTTTGTCTTATATAAAAAATTAAATAATTATTAATTCTTTTTCTACCATTTGATTCATTGTTAAATATACTTTTATGTATATATATAATTTTACATATTTCACAAAAGTTTTTGAATAAGACGAACAGTAAAACATGTTTAAAAAAGTCAACGGCGCCAAATATTTAGAGACAGAGGGAGTATTTTGACACATCAGGTGCAGTGGCACAGCAAAATGTTTCATTATCTGAAAATAAGATGTGTCTGTCATTTGTAAAAGTATTAAAAACAGTTGACAGATTTCCCTACGTACTTGAAATGCATTACTTTCATAGGAACGCCCTTGGGAAACAGCTAAGTCCTACCATAATGAGGAATTTTTTAGATCACAAATGGGAAATGAGCTTTCACTAGTTCCAGCCTCCAACAAAATTGGGCAGCACCATAATTTACTACTTAAAAATCCATTTGCAAGGCCCCCCGCGTCGCTCCCTGGGGCAGGGGTGACACGGGCGGTGACTCCTGCCGCCGCGCCACTACCCCCGCCTCTGCCTCGCCGCCGCCCGAGCGGGCCGCCGGAAACCACGCGGCCGTAAGAACGGCGGCAGCGGGGGCTTCCTTTTCCTGCGAGATCGCAGGGTCGGAGCCCATGACCCCGACCAACTTCGAGGCGATGACAGCTGCAGCGACGCTGGGATGGAGCTGGCGCTCGAAGGCCTGGCCGCTGGCGTCGAAGAGGAACGCGACAGCGTTGACGGCGAGGTAGGCCAGGGCGACAATGGCAAGGTGTCACTGCCGGATCTGGCGTCCGCTACCAGATCCGGCCTCCTCGGAGTGAGACACGCCCATGAGCCGCCGCTGAGGTGTGGCTGCGTGGATAGGGAAGCACGGACGTGGAGGCGGTGTAGCTGCCATATCCAGCCCTCTCCCATCTGGATCCGGCCTCCCCGGTGCGGGAGGGCGACCCCCAAGCCGCCGACGGTGGTGTGCGGTTGCGTGGAGGCAGCGACGCGGACGTGGAGGTGGCAGGGCGAGGCAGGAAGGGTGTGATTGCACGCCGTCGAGGGAGGAAGGTGGTGGGGATGGGAGGAAATGGGGCGCCAACTAGAAGCGCCCGGTGGCGGTGGTAGGCCGGAGCGGCGTCGTGAGAGGTTGATACGGGCAGGCCTGCGCGGGTGGCGCCGGTGGCAGCGGAAGCTGGCATGGACGACGTCAGGAGGTCGGCGCAAGCAATAGCAGGGAGGCCGGCCCAGCCAGGCGTGGGTGGTCAATGCGGCAACGACGGGAGGCTGGTGATGGTGGTGTGTGCCACAAGGCATTCCGAGGCGCTGCTTGGGTGCCTATACAGTGCCCAGGCGGTTCTTCGTGACCTCTACGGACGGCTGCGTCAGTGTCATCGTCGCTTTTCTCCCTGGAGACGTCATCTAGGTGGCCTTCCTGCCAAAACCTCTCTCGGACAACTTGCATGTGCTCACTCTAGATGTTTGTATTCTTGCGGCAGCGCCCTAGTCAATACAGGCTGACCATGTCAGTGGGCCTTGTGGGGAAAGTGGTTCCATCCTTCTTTCTCACCCTTTCCCCTCCAATCCATTTGACGTGGATAGAGTTGAGTGCAGTGCCCGCTGTTAGGTTTTGGTTTTGGGTGGTTAGATGGTAGCTTCTTTGTTAGTCTAGTGGTGGCCAATCACGCTTAGCGACGGCCGATTCAATGTTAGCCTTCTCCTGGATTCTGTATAGGCACTGCGGGTGCGTGGTGGTGTTGGTTTTTTTCTTGGCTGGCTACTGCCTCTCAAGGTCTTAGCTTTATAATTTTTTCCTGCTCAATGAATTATCGCACGGTCTGGTGTTGATCATTAAAAAATAAATACTACTTAACATATTCTAGAAATAGTGAGGGTGGTAAAGCTGGCACTTGTGTGGCAGGTTAAACTGTCCGAGATTGTGCCAATAATCCACAAAGTGAAGGGGGAATGAAACCAGCACCAGAATTTTGCTCAATCAAACAGTTTGAACAGATAAAAACACAAAACGACAAGTGGAGGATTATAGAATCAAGCGATTGGAAAAACATCTACATTTCGTCCAACTCTTTTCAGATTCTAATTCTCACCCTCAACTTCAAAACATATTACTTATTTCACCTGTATCTAATGCAAATCACATAAAATTGGTGATCTAATAAATAGTTCTAAGCAGGGTCAACACTCCCTGTTTACAATAATTTCAAGTAGAGGCTATGAAAAGCGGTAACCGGCGATTTTCCCCTTCTTGAATGTTTATTAGAAAAAGAAAACTAATGACACCAATTTCACCTTCTTGAAGCTGTTCTAGACTCCAATTTCCCCTTCTAGATAGAGTTAAACCAGTGTGATAATGTGAAGAAGCAGAAATTTTGAAAAGAAAATCAGGTATTCTTTTTTATTTTCCTACCAGACGTCAGCCAAGATCAGCAATTCTCAACCAAATTTCAGCGGAGATTTTGTCAAGAGAGTGAATCCTTGTGTTAGGTGACATGGCTGCCACAGGATAAACCTGACTGCATATCAGCCCCTCCTAGTTCAGTAGTTCTATTCCGCTCTCTCCTGTAACTGCTACGATCACTTCCCTTGCAACCATATGGAATTGCATCGTTTCCATCTCTAGTGGGCTGAACCAAGGGAAAGCACTTCCATTCCAGCCTCCAATTTGTCCAATCAGAATTCCATGGCCGTCACTGCCACACATGCATCCCAATCCCTTGCTGATGGCAATGGCTTGTTTGTGTACACTGCAGTACTGCACCAGAGAGAAACAAATGGAGCATGAAGCAAGAGCTGAACAAATAATGAAGGAAAAAATTGAAAAATATAATGAGAAACAATGACAAAAATGACTAATCTATACTACTTAAAATGTTAGTAGTGGTGGTGTCCTTTCTCAAACCACGTCTACCACCAACATCTGGGCCCCACAATCTATACTATTACACCACCTTTCAACAAGTCTTCCCCTATTTCACTATTGGTTCCCCCAAATTTCAAAATCACCTACTTGTTCAATAAGAAAAATTACAGTATTACTTAGACTAAACAAATGCTTATTAATTGATTTAACAAGCTAGAAACTCAATTTGTTTTCCGTTGCAAAGCATGGGCTCTAGGCTAGTGATACAAAACATTCCTATGCACCGCTTAGATCTGAAGAGGACTCAGAATAGCAAAATAACAATTCTTGCAAGCAGTTGATAGGAGCCACACAGAACCTGAATGAATTTGCCATGCAAGCAGTTGATTGGGACAATATCTGATAGATCAGAGGTCATATACCTTGCAACCTTTTGCTGCGTCTTCTGCTAAGTATTAGCTGCCTTTAGGTAGACATAGGTAGACATAGAGGCATCAAACTCATGTGCCGATTGGGATGCCACATCACCTAAACCCGCCAAGAAAATTAGTTTTGGATGTTGAGTAAAGTAGCTGTGGAGTTACAGAAGAAAAGTAGCCTCTATAAAGAGTTGATGCCTACTTGATGGGCAAAACATGGAGTTTTTTCTAAAATGGTTGTCTATATCTATACTCTTCAAAAAGAAGGCAATGGTGGTGGCAGTGAATCTGCCGCCCACCAACTCTATTGTATATGTTTTACCAACTACTTTCATGTACTTTACTATTACAAAATAGTCCTTCTGCAAATCAATGTATCTTATTTCATCTCTAAATACAAGTTTATTGTGCAAACTTATCTACAGCGTAGAATTGTTCTTAAAAACCTCACAATTGATTTGTTTCAAACAATAATAGCATGTGTACGATTCATATTTATTTGTAGCAAAGCACGGGTATTTAGCTAAATAAACCAGGTATACAGATAATTGGGATCATAAATGCAGTCTAGACTAAGATTACTACCCCATTCGTTTCATATTATAAGTCTTTTGACTTTTTTCCTAGTCAAACTTCTTTAAATTTGATCAAGTTTATATAAAAATATAGTAGTATTTTCAACACAAAACAAATATATTATAAAAATATATTCAATGTTAGATTTAGTGAAACTAATTTGATATTTTAGATGTTGCTAAATTTTTCTATAAATTTGATCAAACTTAACAAAGTTTGACTAGAAAAAAAGTCAAACGACTTATAATATAAAACGGAGGGAGTACAAAGTAGAGAACATATTATGTTTAAGCCAGACTTAACCACCTAAGCGGGCAGATATATTTGTCTATGCTCTGTGGAAGCTGGATCCTATTTGAGCTTCTGTGTGCTTCCAATGTCCAAGGCAGAATCGTATTTGAGTTTTCTGTGCTTGTGTGTCTAGTTTGATCATATTTGAGCAAAATGGCCAGGTTTCCTTTACTGACTTCGGTGTAGTGCAGCTTTGGAAATTGGAATGTAGCTAGTTGAGAGAATCTTTACCTATTCTGCTAAAATAGTTCTGTTATAGCAATATTAAGGAGGTTATCAGTTAGGTAATACATCCAAAGGTAGTGAAAATAACCACATGTTGCAGGCCAACACAATTCAAAAGTAAGCCTAACTAATTGAAGTATCCGTTTTATGGCTAGTGTAATGTAATATAGAAAGGTCGTATACAAATTTTACTTAGGCTTCCGCACACCATGAACCTGCCAAATATAAGAATTTCACATATAATCAATCCTTTTATTACTGTTGAAAACAGCAGCAGCAGTAAAAACTTTTCAGCTTCACATAGTTAAATAGCAATAATAATAGTTCCAGTTTTATTTTAGCAGAGGATGAGAGGATAGTGCAAAATCTAGTTCCAAGAAACAAGATACATGGAAGGGAAGAATACCAATTTATGCTTGGTTTTGTAACTCAGGGTTACAAAAAAAAAATACAACAATTATGTTGTCCATCAAATGAGCTATCTGGGAAATTTAATGTAACTTCAACTCTAAATATCATCATGTATTGAAAAGAGGGATCAACAATCAAGGAAAAGTTAACAAAGTATTGTGCTCTATATCAGTAGTCTTCAGAAGGAAAGCAGAAGACGTGGAATTAAATGATAACTACTTTGTAGAACATGAGCCTAAACAGTTTAAAAGTTTAACCAGAAAATTGAAGGCAAACAGTGGTTACCAACAGGATTCCTTTCTCAGTACATTCAAGCAGGTTTATCCTAAGTTCAGTGAAATTGAACTTAACAGGAGATTGCTGTACCAAAATTACTGGTCTGGAGTCAATTAATTGTGTTCTGGGAAAAGATTGAAATATTGTATTCATCTAGAAGTAAACGGAAATGTTGTAAATATCACTGAATCGATCTAGGCAGGGTATCACTATCATGAAATTAGGACCAATTTCTAATCAAACTGATAAGATACAGTTCTCATCCTCAGATAACAATTATTACATGGTTCTATCAATCTTAGATGAATTTTGTAACTACTTCTGATAGTATATGATCGTGTGTTGAATTAATTTTGATCTAATAAATGAAAGGACAAATAATACTATCTACTAGAAAGCTTCTTTTTTGTTGAAAAAAAAATCTTGGGCCAGATTAAGGCTGCATGGAAAGTGTGACAACGGCATATTATTGTGTATTAACGAAGGGAAACCAATAACCACATTGATGTAAAATCAAATGTGCTTCAAGATGGTGTCTAAGATGTATCACTAGCCAAGAAAAGTAAGTGTCTTGTGGGCAATTGACTTGAGCACATTATTTTGCAGTTTCAAAAGGCAATGCAAGCAATTGACATATCAGTTAGAAACCTACATATGTTGCAGTGTCCATTTTGTAGCAATTTTCTCCAGAATTGATCCATATATCTATGTGCTGCTGCTTCATTTTTTGGATCTTTGTGACTCACTGCACCATCTCATTTTTGGAGTTCATTGTGATCTCTACTACACAAAAAGCAAGAACATTTCCTTCACGTCCTATCATTACCTGTTTATTCTATGTTTTCCGCTAATATGTCTAGATCACTGCAATTATTGATATTCCTCATTTGCTCAGATAATTCATCTAAAACCACATAGATCTCCGGTGCTAGAGGGTTTGATCTATCTCCAACTAAAAAAGGGGTGAACCCATTGCCAAGATCAGTCCATGCTAACCCAGGTGCTTTTGTGACACCTAAGTCACGCATTAGTTTCCTGACTGTTGCTAGTTCATCCCAGCAACCAGCAGCTGCATACATGTTAGCAATCAGAACATAGTGCCCAGCATTCTCTGTCCTCATTTCCAAAAGTTTCCTTGCTGCCCTTTCACCAATTTCTATGTTGCCTCTGTCATGACAAGCCCCAACTAATGCTGCCCACATAGTCGACGTTGGAGGAAAAGGGGTATGGTCAAGCATTTCCTCTGCTTTTTCCAATAGTCCAGCACGTGCGTATAGATCAATCATGCAAGAATAATGCTCCATCTGGGGTTTAATACCATATGAAATGACCATCTTGTTAAAAAGTTCTTCTCCTTCAAGCACAAGTCCAGAGTGGCTACACGCGGAGAGTACAGTGACCATGATTATATGATCGGGCTTGATCCCACTATCAATCATCTGCTCAAAAAGGCGAAGTGCAACTGTTCCTTTACCTTGCATTCCATATCCTGCTATCATTGATGTGTAAGATATCATATCACAGTCATCCATGGTATCAAAGACATTTTGTGCTACCGACAACCTCCCTGATTTGGAGTACATGTCAATAAGGGAGTTCCATAACAAGCGATACCCTTTGAAACCATGCTTAACAATGTGACCGTGAAGTTCCTGCCCATGTTGAAGATTTGCAACACGGGCACAAAGAGCAAGATAGGTAACAACAGTAACATAATTAGGTTTCACACCTCTGCATATCATTTCACGGAAAATACTAGAAGCCTCTTCTGCACAATCTGACAGTGCAAAACTAGATAGCATTGTATTCCACGTCACCACCCCAGGGCACTCCAGCATCCTGAACAACATGCGAGCACACTCCATATCCTTGCACCTAGCATACATCGTGATCAACGCATTGCTGACACTCTCAACTTGGTCACAGCACATACGCACTGCCAGCCCGTGGATCTCCTTTCCAAGCCTCAGCCACCCAACTCGTGAGCAAGCATTCAAACCAATCACCAGTGTCACGTAATCCACCTCTGCACCACCTCTAACCATCTCCCTAATAAGCCCTACCGCTGCCCTGTAATCACGCATCTGAATATACCCCCCGGCGATAGTGTTCCAAGTCACCGAGTTCACCTCTGTCCCCTCATCTCGCATCCTCCGAAACAGCTCCATAGCCTCTGCCCATTGCCCGACCGCTGCATAGCTTGATATCATTGAATTCCATGATACCACATCCCTCTGGACCATACCGTCGAACACCTTGCGTGCAGAGGCAAGATCCCCACACTTGGCATACATTGACATCAGCGCGTTCTGGAAAAACAAATTCCCGTCCATCCCAGCGCCCGCGGCGTGCATGTGCACCGCCCGCCCGAGCACGAGTTCTCTGGCCTCAGCGCAGGCGCGGAGGACGGAGGGGTAGGTGAAGACGTCCGGGAGCACGCCGTTCTTGCCCATTTCCTGGTAGGCCGCCAGGGCCTGGAGCGGGAGTCCATGGCGGAGGCAGGAAGAGATGAGGACGTTGTAGGGGAGCGGGAGCGTGGAGTCGGCGGCGACGGAGGCGGCGGAGGGGAGCAGGGAGGGGTGGGAGGTGTAGACGGAGAGGAGGCGCGGTAGGAGGATGGGGTGGCGGGAGAGGCCGAGGGAGAGGGAGAGCGCGTGGAGCTGGACGCCGAGGCGGAGGTGGGAGCGGTGGTGATGGAGGAGAGCGGCGACGGGGCGGAGGAGGAGGTGGGAGGTGCCTGCGGCGGGCGGGAGGTGGCGGCGGAGGCGGGAGAAGGCGAGGAGTGGGAAGGGGAGGAGGCGGAGCGCGGAGGAGGAGGAGAGGGAGGCGAGGAGGGAATGGAGGGAGCCTTCGTCGTCGTCGGGCTCGGTCGGTGCCCCCGCCGGCGGCGGCGGTGGCGGTGGCGGCCGTGGTAAGAGCACCGCCGCAGCCGACGTGGGCATCCGGATCTTTCGATTTTGGAAACTGATGAGTAACGATGATATTCTCCCACCTCCGTTTGATGGGTACAGAATTATCAACCGGTTACGGTTGTTGAGGAGAAAATTGTGATTTTGCTATCGCAAAAGGATGGTTTCGCTGAAATACTATCCTTCAAAGTGATTTATTAAAATGCTATTCTAAACTGAGGGGTGTTCACTAAAATGCTATTTTGGGTCTTTTGGGTTAATACTAATGTTTTTGCTCTATTTTGTTGTGTCTTGTGACCAAATTACCCCTACCTCTATCTACTCCTTCCTCCCAACCTCTCTGTATTGCACGGCGGGAGGACGGAGTACGGCGGCGCGCCGAGCAAGCGCTGTTCGGCGGCGAGTGGGCAGGGCGGGGCAGCGCTGACTGAGGGGTGACGGGAGGGGAGGAGCGGGTGGGGGAGTGGCGGGGGCCGGTGCTGGTGCCGGAGCCGGAGCTGATGCGGAGGCGCAACGGGTGTCGCCGCCGCTCCTAGGCTCTTCTTCAGTCAACGCCGATTCGATCTGCCGATGACACTGATTGGGATCGATTCGATCGATCTCTTAAAACGGATAAGGAGACAAGGGTATTTTGGTCCGAACAAAAATTAAAATAGAGCAAAATCATTTCTAGCAACCAAAAAGACTCAAAATAGTATTTTAGTGAACAACCCTCAGTTTAGAATAGCATTTTAATGAATCACTTTGAAGGGATAGCATTTCAGCGAAACCATCCATTTGCGATAGCAAAATCACAATTTTCTCGTTGTTGAGGTACTCGGTACATTGGTGCCTACTTGAGGGAAACTATTCTAATCCTTCGAGGGGATGTTCTTTCATTTGCTTAAAAACCATCTAAACAGTTATGAAAAATTCTAAAAAAAACTGACAACATTCGTACAACACATATATACATCTCCACAAAATGTTAAGGCTCTGTTCGGGAGTGAGGGTTGGGAATCCTCACTCTCCGGCACGCAAAACGAAGTAGCGTTTAACACGTGATTAATTAAGTTTTAGCTAATTTTTTTTCAAAAATGGATCAATATGATTTTTTAAAGCAAGTTTCGTATATAAACTTTTTACAAAAAAACACATCGTTTAGCAGTTTGAAAAGCGTGCGCGCGGAAAACGAGGAGGAGTTGGGAACTCCTTCTAACGAACGCAGCCTAAGTCCAAACTCAACTCACACGTTGAGATATAAAAAAAGACAAATTCAGCGTATGAATAGTAGCGTACTGTTTATATCTAAATTTGTCTTTTTTGTTTCTTGATGTGTAGATCGAATTTGAACTTGAATTTTGGTGGACTAGTAGGTATCATTATACTCTACATTGTCAATGTTTTTTAGATTTTTTCACAACTATTTGCATCGAATTTAGAAGAAAAAGGTATACGAGGGGATATCCCCTCGAGGGATAAGAATCCTCCCCCTACATGAGCGATGCATAGTGTACAAGTGAATTTTGTGAATTTTAAGATACTCCCTATGTTCTAGAATCCTATCTTATTATAAAGTTATCCCGCACTAACTCCTTAAGTTTAACATGCAAAGATGCCACATCATCATCCACTAATTAACAAGATGACACATCATCATCCACTAACAATCATCACATTTAAACATCATGCAAACATGCTATATCTTTATAGTTTTTATAATTTAAGATATTTTCAAATACAAACATGTTAAATTATCATCTAACATAATTCACATAATGTTTCAATGTATATCTTTATTATGTTTTATGATATCCTATATACTTATATAGTTCATCCTCACTTAGTTAGTGCTTAAATGATTAATCTATGGTACAAATTATCTTTCTCATTTTTTCCTCTAATTAAGTCATATCACATCAAATGTTTTTAGCCTTTAGATGATTAATCTACGGTCCAAACTATCTTCCTACTTTTCTTCTTCCATAAAGTCATACCACCCTACTTTTTACGTTTGAATCACCATTCTACATATTATTTAAATTTAAATTATCATAAACCACATTAATTTACTTAATCTGATGTTATCTAGCTATCTTACACGTTATTTTTTTATTGTTATCATACTAAATTCCTGTAGCAATGCGCGGGGTTTCACCTAGTATAGAGAGTTTTAAGGTTGAACATATAACATAGGAAATATAGAGAGTTTTAAGGTTGAACATGGTTATTAAGAAAGTATGTAGAAATAAAATATAAAAGTGTTGTGATTGGTTGAGAAGTAGAAGCATGTGAGAAAAGTGAATGGCGGAGGATTGTGATTGGTTGGAAATAGAATATTGGTAGAAAAGTTGTTATATTTTAGGACAAATCTTAAGTGCTGAAAGTTGTTGTATCTTGTATATTGGAATGGAGGGAGCAGATTATAGATGGACCCACTGTTATCTCTCTTACAATGTAAAACAAGAGGAGTGTTAAGATGCGAAATGTTTAAGCGCGAATGCTTGACTTTCCCAATCTACGCATCTTCCTTCCCTGTTCAGGTTCAGTGTCTCTATATCCGCGATTTGAGTTGGGTAGAGGATATGGCATTAGACGTCGCCGGCTTGAGAAAGTATGGACACTGTTGTCTACCATCTCCCTCAATGCCGGCGAAGTAGGGGTGCTCTGTCCATCACCTCCCTTGGTGTCGGCAAAGCAGGGGTGGTGACGAAGCAAGGGCGCTTCATCCACCAGCTCCCTCGGTGTCGGCTTGGAAGGGGTGGCGCTAAAGAAGCAGGGGCGTTGCCATCCACCACCTCGTCCCCCATTTGTTTTTCTCGCATTTTACTTCTCCCCTTCTAGATCTGCAGTGAAGATTTCCAATTCATCCCATATTATTTCACTCGTCATCAGCATTTACCTGTAGGTTTTGTTTTAAAAAATCCACCACGCTATCACCATGTTGCTTTATTAGGTGATTTAGAGTTGTGCAGTTTGTTCCGGATCGAGTTCCTATTCTCAATTTTTAGTTCCAGTCAAATAACTTTTTCCAATTTTGTATGATTGGGTTCAAACTCCAAATTTTTATATGTCTTAGTTTTATCCCCAATCTACTTCTTTGATTATTCATGCACTCTTTGCGTGGCCTCATGTAAGTACTTTTGCAAATGAGAACACACGAAACTTATAGCATAGTGATGTTTGTTTAAATATATAGCATATAAATCTTGCATAGAAAACATTCACTTTTGGTTGATGAATATATAATTTGGCCATGATCATATCCATGGTGATAATATACCTATCAACTCATGTCCAAAATCCTAGATATATATGTCACAGATATCAGAATTGTATCCTTCTTGGTTATAGTAAATTGATATCGGACCCACAGTTTAGAAAGACAACCGCAATTGGCCCGGATTTTGTTGGACTACTTGGACCCCAAAACACAAACAGCTTGTTTTGTTGTCAAGTTAAAAAATTTATTGAAACTGCATTTTTTTACATGATTTATCCGTATTTTTTCGGTTTATCAGTAGTTTCCGTGAAATTGGAAGATTCTGCTCGTGAATGGTTTTTATCTGGGTATTGGGATTATGCATATATCCTTATCGATCGAACCTCATATTTCGATATGTATATCAATTCTGTAGGAGCAGTGTACTCAAATATTTCGTGCTCCACGTAGACTATTCGAGCATATATGATCAAGTCATGAAATCATAAGTGACGAGTGTTTCATCACTGCTTCACGCCTTCACCGTCATAAGAGATTGTACCTCACTATTCCTGGCTGGAAACTTGGAACAGTCTGCACGGAAAACGGAGCGGTCCATTTGTACATGATTAATTAAGTATAGCTAATTTTATTTTAAAAAATGGATTAATTTGATTTTTTAAGCAACTTTCGTCAGGGGCGGAGACAGCGTGGGGGCGGGGGGGGGGGGGGGGGGTCTTTAGACCCCCCTACCCCCTAATATACTATTAGAGCCCCCATAATACCCCCTAAAATTTTAATCCATATATTTATAGATGAGGGACTAATATAGATTTTGTTTGAGGTTGTTAGAAGGCCCCAAAAGTCCTAAAACCAACCCTAAATCTCTCTTAGTTGCTCTTGGTCATTTTAGTTTAGCCCCCGCTATAATTTTAGGGAACTTTTAGGGACTAATATTTGATCCAACGGTGTAAATTCATATGATTTTTTTTCTAATTATCCTGCAATATAAATTGAATAGGGTAAATTTGTCCTTTTATCTTTTTGCGTGGAGGGTATTTTTGTAAATTCATGCTATCTCACTTAGTCATATCCGTTTGCCCGGCACCTAGTCGAAACCGAAGCCGCTTAGCTCGAAACAGCCGCCGCTGGTTTCTTTCGGCGTCGCCCCCGCCGCCGTCAGCCACAATCGGCGCCGCCGCCATCGGAAATCGATTCGATTTCCCTCCTCCTTTGCTCCTCTCGTGTTTGCAGCGACGCCGCCGTGATTTGGGAAAGGCAGAAGCTGTGGGAGGACAGGCTAGGGCTGGAGGCAAGGCGATGGGGACGCGGGAGATGCTGGGCGCGTGGAGGTTAGGCTTCTCCCTGCGCCAGAGGAAACGGGATGGATGCACCAGGGCTAGAGCGAGGTGCACCGGGGCAGGAGCGAGATGCGCCTAGCCTCCATCGCCGGTGTCGCCAGACGCGGATGACGAATTGACGATATCCAAGAAAAAAATCCAAGAAAAAAATCCACGGGGAACTTAATCCCTATTTGTGATTAAAAAAACAATATCTATCTTAAATGACTAAACAACCCTTTTCAGAATTTTAACAAATACGAAATATACCCTATTATATACTGCTAGTATATACTAGTAGTAGAATGTACCGTAAAAATCCTCTAATTTTATTCTGGCTTCGCCACTGACTTTCGTATAGAAACTTTTTTAAAAAACACGGCTGTTTGAAAAGCGTGTGTGCAGAAAGGAGAGGGTCGGAAAAAAATTCTGTGCAGTCTGGCTGCAAACCCCACGCCGTGCATACCTGGGTTAGATGGGCGACGCGTGGATGAGAGAGCGATCTAACGGCGCCCCCGCACGGCTCCATTCCACACCAAGAGAAAAGGCTCAGCTCAGCTCGCTCGCATCAACTCCCGCATCGAGCCGAGCTTGAGTGCTCAGCGGCTCGCTCACGTCCTTTTCTTTCTGCCGCTTCCTTTTCCCCCGCCGCCGCCGCCGCAATTTCTCGGGTGCCGAACACACCCGTAGCAGATACTCCAGCCAGCCAGCCGACTGCCAAAAGGAAACCGACCCGGTTTCTTGGCCGGAAACCGTACGTGATTCCATTTAACTCCCACGGTCCCACGGTCCCACCTCAATCCAACCCCCTGTCCTGTCGTGCGCGTGCGCGCTGGGCCGGCCAGGATCAGATCTATCCTCCATGGAGAACGACGCCCGCCTCCTCGAGTTTATGGAGGTGACGTCGTGCTACGACGTCACCCTCGCCGCCCGGCAGCTCGCCTCCTGCGGCTGGCACCTCGACCGTGCCGTCGATCTCTTCTACGCCGGAGTCGTCGAAGGCGGAGGACGACCGTCGTCGTGGTCCGCGCGACACGACGGCGAGGAGTCGACGTCGTCGGCGTCCGCGTCCACGTCGGTGCGCGCTCCGATCTCCGCTCGCTCCGACACCCTCTACGGCGTCCCGTACCCGTCCGTCGGCCGCGCCACCCGCCGCCGCAGGCAGACCAGGTGGGAGAGCGAGGAGGACGCGGCTCTTCGGCGCCAGCGCGAGGGGGAGGCCAGCACCAGCACCAGCGGCTACGGCGGCGGTCGCGACGACTCGGACGACGAGCAGCCGCCGCCTGCGTCCAAGAAGAGGAAGCCGTCGACCCTGGCGGAGCTGTACCGGGCGCCGCGCGAGCTGACGTACAGGGGCGGGTTCCACAGCGCCAAGGTGCACGCGGCGAGGCTGTCGCGTTGGCTCCTCGTGAACGTGCAGGCGGAGTACGGCGGCCGCGAGTTCGCGTCGCATTTGCTGAACCGCGACGTGTGGGCGGACGAGACGGTGGCGATGTACGTGCGGGACAACTTCGTGTTCTGGCAGGCCGACGAGGGAGACAGCGGCGGCGAGGGCAGCAAGGTCTGCTGCCACTACAAGCTCGACCGTGCCAAGCTGCCCGCCGTGCTCTTCGTCGACCCCGTCACCGGGCAGCTCATGGAAAAGCTGCACCATATCACGGACCCGACCGACTTTCTCATGGCCGCCGAGAAGTTCATCGACTCGAAGTCGTTCATATCCACCACCACCAGAGCTAACAGAATTACCTACCACCGCCTTACCGTAATCACCAAAAAACGCCGGCCGCCACTGCTGCCGCCAAAGTATGCAAGCTGAGGGTGCGATTTCCCGACGGCCAGGTGGTGGGCAAGGAGTTCGGCGGCCAATGCGGGGTGGACGCGCTCTTCGCCTATTGCCGGTCAGTCATCGGCGTCGAGCAGCCGTTCCGGGTGATGCGGATGCCGGCGACGGCCGGCGCGAAGGAAGAAGTGCGCGAGGACAAGGACGTGTCGTTTGAGCAGCTGGGGCTTAACATGTCCACGGTGTACGTGCTTCTAGACTAGTACTCACCACATCCAAAATAAGATATATGATGTTATTAACTTTTTTATAATGTTTGAATATTTGTATTATTTAAAATTTTATTATTAGTATATAAATATGTAAAATTATAAGTTGAGATTATAGTTTTTTATGATGGAACAAGTCACAATAAAATAAATAATATTTATATAATATTTTTTAATAAGAGAAATGATCAAATGTTATGCGAAAAGTTAATAGCGTCATATATTTTGGAATGGAGGAAATATTTCTCAGCGATATGTAACAAACTACTTTCTCCGTCAAAAAAAAAAATCCAATCATGCATCATGATATCTGGGCTTAGGATCGATATTTTTTTTTTACAGAACTAAGAGGGTGCTCGTGCGTTGCAACGGGAAATGCTATATATCAATTTCAATCATATCCGGTGAAAAGATGTTAAATAATCAATAACTTTGTTGAACACAGGAACAAATCTGGCAAACCAAAGAAACTACAAATCAAAATTGTTTTATAGATTAATTCCAATGTAAGAAACATGTTATCACTATAGAAGTTTCACACACTGAAGTTTCCCCTTTTCCTAGCCTCAATTAAATTAATAAATTGTCTCAAGAATTAATTTGTTTTAACCTAGACCTAAACCCTAATTAATAAATGTAATTAATAAGTGGAAATGGCATGGTGGGATTTTTCTTGAGCTCTCCATGTTTAGATACATTGACATGTTTTTTAGTGGAATTTTCAGAGCAAAAGAAATAATTTTAATAATTCAAAATCAATTATCAGAATTAAATTAATTGTTAATATCTTTTTCCGCTCCCTTGGGCTGTCCACATCCTCCCCGAGCGCGTCCTTCTCCTTCACTAGGCCGGCCTATGGCTACGGCCTAGCGGCCGCCGCGCCCCTCCCTCTCTCCTCGGGTAGCTGACAGGTGGGGCCAACCTATCAAGCCAGCCCCTACCTCTAGCCGGCGGAGCCGTAGGGTGCAACCAATCCCGCGCCCCACTCCGCCTTCTCCGCGCACCTAGCGTGCCCCCACTCTCCGCAACCACCTCCACTACTCTCGCTGCACGTCGTCCCCTCAAAATTAGCGGGATTCAATTTTCAAATCCAGCCGCTGTCGCTCTCTCTCTCTCTCCCCCCACATCCACCGGAAAATCCGCCCCCTACCGCCCCCTCCGAGCTCCCCGCTGCTATATAAATGATCCCCATGCTCCCCTCCTCCTTTTCCCTCATCCGCCGCTCCCTCCCGTTCCCTAATTCGCGCCCACGCCGTTGCTCCCGCTGCTACTACCTTTTCGTAGCCTTCGGCCGTCGCTAGCCATCGCTAGGGCCGCTGCTGAGTCGCACTGTCGCCTCCACCGGGTCCGCAAGGTCGAGAGCTACCTCGACCGCCGTTCGCCCATCGTCTTCTGCCGCTGGAACCCGCCTCCCCTCGGTTTGCCGGTGAGCCCTCTATATTCGCCACCTCCGGCTGGCAATGTTTGCCACCGTGGTCCTTTTCTCTCCCTCTAACCCCTCTCATCTCCATTCCCAGGTTGCTCCAGAGCTCATATACCCCTTGCCGCCGTCGTTGCTGTCCTATCCGTGCCGGTCACAGGTGTCATCGGTGAGGCCCTCCTCTTTTCCTCCTCTCTCTCCTTCCCGCGCCGCCGCTTTTCGGTGGAGCGTGCCATCGCTTTTCGGTGGAGCGTGCCGCCGCTCGCCGCTCACTCCCGCGTCGCCAGGCCATCTCGTCCCGAGCCGCGCCCCTGTCCCAATGGCGGTGGACCGCCGCGGTAATCCTGGTCCACGGTGGACCGAGCGTTGTGTCACCGACGGGTAGGGCTCGTGTGTCGGTGCCGCTCTCCCCTCGCTGACGTCAGTGTCCGGCTTTAGTGTGCAATGATTGGTTAAGGACTTTTCTGTTTGTAGTAAAAACACAGTGAATCTTCTAAAATTCATATTTAATTCATCCGAGCTCCGCTTAAGTCCATTCAAGTCTTAGTAAATTTATAAAAATGCCTAGAATCCATTAAACATGGTTTTGTTACCTATTTCGGTAGACTTGCCTGTTTTGCTTGTGTGCTTTGTTTGTTGCATAGAATACGACAGTTCCAATGCTCCCGTCTGTTACGAGGTGGATGCTGAGGTTCCAGCAACACCAGAGCAAGGCTAGTCACAGATTACAATTGATCATATTGTACGCAATTTGCAAATGTCCCGCTTTCTATTTAAATTGAACTATTTTATAATGTAATGTGAGATGGCTACCTATGTACTCAGCCTAGTTTGTTTACATTGTATCATTGGTAACTTGGGATCTAATATGATTAGTGTCACGCCCGGAATTTCTATCCAAAATTCCAAACGCTTACATGTGTGTGAACCCTCGTCCAGGAATCAGCCGAGGCACACAATAAAAAATTGATAATAGAGTACAATTATTACTCTAATTAATAAGCGAATAAAATGTCATTACAGAGGTAGATAGTTCCTCTCAATCAATAAAGATCTAAGCAGCGGAAAAATAAAAATGAACGGCGCAGACGGCTCCACTCCACATGCAGCTTGACCAGGGCTACACCTAATCCTCCACACCATCAGCCTCATTGTAGAACTCTTCCTCTGATGAATGATTGCAAGGTGAGTATATGACATACTCAGCAAGTCACGCAGCAAATATGCAAGTGCACAAGGATACCAAAGGATGGCATAGTAGGGTTTCATTTGCAAAAGCAGCATTTAGCAAACATTTCAGAACTTAATAAAACAGTTAAGTAGTGATTAAACAATATTAATCCAACGCTATACAACATACCCTGTTGTATAGGCCCAACCATTCTGAACAACCATCCCGGCTGCACAGTTCTATCTCCAAACCAGGAATGTACCATTCCAAACCAGGAGCTAATCAAATTATTACAAATTTTAGCATCATTTACTATGGTGAGAAGTGTGGGACTAATCACGAAAGACATTGTTAGACCCGCCCATAACCGCGGGCACGGCTATTCGAATAGTTTTACTCTGATTAGAGGTGTACCACTGTACCCACAAGACACAACCCCACATCATGTCACCATGTGCCTCAATACCACCACGGTACCTCGGAAAAGAGTTGTGACAATATCCCTTGCATAACACAATCCACCGCAGCGCACCTTCCTGGATCATAATCACCCCCTTATAAACAAGGCATGGACTCCCCAGCGACCCCCGTGGGCTTATCTCCGCCACTTCTCAGTCTGGTGCCCCGCAATGAACCATGCTATACAAAAGATAAAGCCGTTGCCCATGCTGGCTTGTGGTTGGCACGATTAATGTTTCACAACCGAAACTCGTGAACCAGTCCTTAATTGTCATGAGCACGACCATCAAAACCATGTGCTCACAACCCACCATTACCAGGTTTTAGTTGGCACATTAATTAATTAACCAATCACGATTGACCATCGTGAACTATCATTAAGCCATCATTAAATTATAGTGAGTCATAAGTTATCCCAATAGTGAGCTAATGTTTCTAAGCATGGCTAAGCAATTACATCTAATACATCTAGTTGAACCAATATATAGAGCCCAACTAGTCAAATTATAATAACCCAAGGTATCAAGGAATAAAGTAATCAAGAACAAAAGGGCTATAACAAAGAATAGGTTAATTCCACCCAATGACATTCGAAAATAAATGCAATAGTTGAATAGAAACAATAGCTTTAAATAGGATCAACATGCTCAAAGGGTTGTTTGGGATCTGTGTGACTTGCCTTGCTGGCCTTGGAACTCTTCAAACTCTTCTCCAGCGAAAACGGACTCTCCGGAAACGACGGAATCTAAGCAAAAAGAGCAAAATCACCAAAACAGCACATAAACAAGCATGAACAGTACATGTGGATATTTTTAACATGTAGATCTCAATTTTAGAAAAATTTAGAGACTTGAACCAACTAAATCGGAGCTAAGATGAATTAGTTATGAATTTTTAAAGATTAAATCGGATTAAAACACTTATATCGGTTTAAATTGAATTATGACGCAATAATGAATTATTTTTGAAAAGGAAAAGAAGGTTTATTGCGTCAGCGGCTAGGGTTTCGGTGGACCGGGCGCACGGGCGGCGGTTCACGCGAATGGACGGCCGAGATCGAACCAATCCAAAACGGACGGCCGAGATCGATCGGGTCCACGGCGGCTCACGGCGGACGACCCCGATGACGTCGGCAATGACGTCACCGACAGCGGCGGCGGCTCGGCGGAGCGGACGGCTCGGACGGTGCACGCTTGCCGGCGAACGGCGGCACTAGGACGCAAACGGAGGGCACCAGCACGTAGAGGACGACGCGGCGAACACACCGGTGACCAAAACGGCGGCGGAAGAACAACGGACGACGACGGCGACGAGGAGGAAACGGCGGTAACCTTCGGGTTGACGACGGCGACGAAGCTCTGGCGATCTCCGGCGACGGCGAAGGGGCGGACGAGGACGGCGACGCGACGGCGAGCACGACGGCGGCCTTCCCGAGCGACGGCGACGGCTGAAACGACGGCGGCGCACGGCTGGAGCGGCGGCGGCGACGGCAAAGCTAGGGCACACGGCGCTAGGGCTCTTCCGACGACGAGAGGCGAAGACAAGGGCGGCGACGGGTAGAGGAGACACCGGGGAAGCTTTTAAAGGGGCTCGGAGGCGGCGGCGAAGGCCCACGGCGGCGGCAACGGCGAAGGAAAGCTCGGGCTTGGAGAGAGGAAAGCCGATCCGATTCGAACTCGAATCCATCGATTTCCAAACCGATTTAGCCGAAGCTTCCAAAGAAGAAAAGGTAGAGGAGATCCCGAGGATCATTTCCCCTCTTTTGATTCGGCCGGAGAAGGAAAGGAGCGGCCGAATTTGGAAAGGAACGGCGGCGGCGGCACGCTAGGGTTCGGCCGGGCGACGGCGGCTCGGGGAAGACGAACCTGACAGGTGGGCCCCACCTGTCAGCGGGCGGACGCGCGCGCGGCGGCGGACTGGGCGGACTGGGCCGAGGAGAGAGAG